AGGGCAAATGTTAATCCTCTCCCCAAAGTGAACATGCCTATAGAGGACTCAGACTACCGTGGTATTAATGTTACTCCCGTTATTGCCCGGTTGTTCGAGAAGGTCGTGTATCGTACACAAGCACAGTCAGTCATTGAGAACAACCTGAGCCACACCCAATTTGCATATAGACAGGCGGGTAGTTGCACAAATGCCTTGCTCGCTATCCAGCACCAGACATACAAGTATTTAGATAGTAGTGACTGTAGCGCAGTGCGAATTTTTACCATGGACTTCAGTAAGGCTTTCGATTTTGTGAACCATGCTATTTTGTCTGCCAAACTGAAACAGCTACCTCTAAATCCGTACATTATCAATTGGTATCATAGTTTCCTCTATGCAAGACAACAACGTGTTGTTAGTTATAATTTTTTAGGACAGTGGAAATCTGTCAATAGAGGAACCACACAAGGTAGTGTAAGCGGACCGTATCTTTTTAATATATTTTTGAACGATTTGGAGATTTTTTTTAATGGTTGCCCTGTGCTTTTTAAATATGCCGATGATTCCACTATTCTTTCGCCTATCACTAGGAATAGTGACCCGTCTGCCGACTTAGTAGGACAGTTCTTAACATGGTGTAAAGACAATAGAATGGTCTGCAACCCTTGCAAATGTAAAGAGCTGGTTGTTAGAAAGAAAAATCATAATGTACTCTACTCTCCAATTAATAATATTCCCCAATGTAATAGCTTCGTTTTACTAGGAGTAACTTTACAGAGTGACGGAAAATTTGATGAGCATGTAAGAACTAAGCTTGTCAAAGCAAACAAGTGTTTACACGTCCTACGAACATTGAGAAAGGAACATTACTCTCAGGCAGAGATTGATCATCTTTTTATATCCATTGTTTTGGCTAATTTTAGCTATGCACTTTCAGTCTATGGGGCATCTGAGTCCGATCTTACGGTTGTACAAAATTTTTTAGACCGATGTCATAAACGCGGTTTTATCTCATTTCCAGTTTTTATCAAGAACCTTTTAAACAAACAAGACCGAAACATTTTGAAGAAACTAAAATCAACGGATTGCCACCCCCTGAAAGACATCATTCCTGTCCAAAAGACATATGTACACAATCTTGGGAAAAAAGGCTGCGCACGCCCGAAAATTAATACATAGCGCTTTATGAACACCTTTGTAAATAGGTTGATATTTAAGCTCCATTTATTGTAATGACATACTTTTTAATTTATAATATGTATGTAGATTTCTGTTGTAGTTTTCCGAATTCATTGTAACATAAGATATGTAGTTTTATCTTATGATGGAATAAAGACTTTATTATTATCAATCACATAGCTCCTTTTTCTGCCTTTAAAGCACACACAACCCAGAATTCCCCTATTCGCTCCGACGAAGGGCTAACGCTCGAAACGTCAGCTTTTATAATCGTAACGGTGGCCAATTTACCATTTCAACTTTGTTGATACATTCAAATTATTTCGTTACCCCCGCCGATGCAGCCCCAAACAGTTTCTTTAGAAACTGTCAGCCTTTATTCTTTTATCTTTGGACTATTTTGGGGTAGACTGATTCTTTTACAGCCACCCATCAACCTTATCAGCTGGCAAACCAACGCCGAAGCTGCCAAAAAGCTGCCCGAGTGTGCAGTCCAATGGTATATTCCTCATGGCTGAATGATATGAATTATGTACCGGTATCCAAGCCATCTTGTTTTTGCGTTACAGAGGTCAGCGGATTTAATGACTGTCCCTACACTTGCTCACATGCCAAACCTACCGCATACCGAATTGCATGCGGGTAACGTGGACTCTCTCCACGAACGCTCAGAATAAAAAGGCAAACTCCCTAACAAAGTCCCAACTTGATCCTCCTCGGAAATGGGCGCTCCAATTGCCGCAAGTTTATTGGTGATATCTTTCATGAGCTTCAAATGTTGTTCCACCGGTGTACCTTCTTTCATCTCGGAACGAAAATATCTCTTCTTTAAAAATAGTTTGTTCGCGAGTGTCCCTCGTTCAAAATGTTTCCTTAACGCGTCACACGCTTGCTTTGGTTCTTCGCTTGAGGTGATCAAGCTGAGCGCTATCAATCGCCAACACAATTGTCGAGAACACCTTTTGTAGCCTCGATCGGTAAAGTGTTTGTGCCGTTTGAGTGGCATCGTCTGCGAGGACTTCTGATCCTTTTACCAGGCCCCATAATCCTTTCGTCAACAGTAAATGTTTCATTTGAAATTTCCAAGTGTTCCAATTGCTCCCGTTAAGTTTGTCGACCAACAACTTTTTTCCATGTTTCATTTACGTACTCCTGGGCCCATAACCTGAAGTTTTTACACGATCAAAACAAACTTCTGCCCTTTTTTATTCACTCACATCCAAATAAACCGTTACAACAACAGAGAGAGAAAACAAAATACACTGGTATATATATGCTAATTCCTAAAAGAAGAGAAAGTTTGAATAACAAAAGGAAAAGAAACACCTGGACCAATCATAGGTCAAATTAACTATTCCTGTGAAATATTTCAAATTTAAAATAACAACGGCAAAATATGACATGCATAATCAGATAACAACAAGGGAATGTGTAGGGGAAGACCAAGAACAGTCAGATAACACATTGAGAAGATCGCGTCGAGCGAGGAAGAGGGCAAATTTGGACGAGTTTATGTATTATGACGATTGAGCAGGAGAAGTAAGGTTAGTTGTACAGCTCATCCCACTCTGATGGATTGTGAATTTCACTCAGTTGTTCGAGATGATGTCACAGAAGTTGAACGTCTCATAAAATGTATTCTATTCTTTTACAAGTTTTGTTTTTGGTGTCTTTCTTTTTTGCGGGAGGGAATTGAGGGCGGTGAAAGGTGGCAAGCAAATTTATTAAACGGAGAACAAATAAGGAAACAGTGTGGGAACATGGGAACATAAGACAATTTTGAAAGGGAACAAGGGATCAAGGACCCCCCCTGGGAGACCCTTCTCTCCGGTCTGAGATCTTGACGCGCGTGATCCCGTGGATTCCACTTACTTGTTTTGAGCCTGCGTTTACAAGTAGTCAGTGGTTGTCTAGTGGCGCCCTTAGGTAATTTATATACGATGATTCGTTGAGGGTAACTCGGAAGAGTTCCACGATGGCCATGAGGCAAGGTGTCGAAAGAAACGGTGCTTGGATCCCTCTCTTTTTTCCTTTGTTAGGAATTTTATCGATTTCTTGGGCACAAAATCAAGTCAGTGAAGATATAGACGAGAAAATTGCTTTTGATTTGCCAGGACAACAACAACCAATTTCGTTTGCACCATCTACAACAGATCATTTAAGCACGGGATATATTGTCTATTGTCCCTGTATGGGTGAGTTTCCACTGTCTTATGTTTTCCTTTTTTTTTTTTTTTCGGAAAAGTCTGGATTTAGTAGAAATAGTTTTGTGTTTTGATAAATCTCCCGTTTATTTTAGCGGATCATAACGATCCTTTTACGGTGATTTTAAGTTTTTTTTTTTCTTTACTTTGTAACACTGGCCGGTATTGAGACAAGCTAAGCAGAGTGAAGAAAAGTGTGAATAACGCAGTACTTTCATTCAGTTTAGTGACTTTTGTAGCAGGAAAGTCAAATAGGTGTTTGGCTTTAAACTACTGAGGTCAAATTAGAGCTCCTTTTTGGAAATATGATTCTATTATCTGTATAGCTTTAAAAGTTAAAGGTGAAGTTCATTTTACTATCAGACAGCCCAGTGTAAGCAAATGTGGGGAAATGAAAACAGATTTTTTTGCACGACTAGCACTCTCGCTTAGGTATTTTTCATCATAGCCCCATTGTTTACTATCTTCAACACTCTTTGATTTGGCCTCACAAAAGCACTCTCTTAAAGACCAAAGATCTTTATATGAAAGCACTCAATTTAGTTTAGTTCAGTTTAGTTTAATTGTTTGTTACAAATGTACAAAAAGAATAAGTTGTAAGCAAAATATCAGTGAGGTAAGGTAGCCTAAGGAAGCCAATAGGGCTTATGTAAAGGATTACCTTTACCACAGTTTTTTTTATCTAAAGTAACAACTCTTTGTTTAAAAATGGAAAAAGTGTAGTCAGGAGATGTCAAGAGTTTTATAGAAATTGGTTGCCTCTGACTGCTGTTATTTCTGAAACAGACGTTTCGGCTAATGCTTAAGCCTTCATCACTGATGTGAAAAACGAAGATCGTTATCATACGCTATTTAAAGTTAAAAACGTGACGAGAAGCGCGAGCATCAAATATATAGTGACGCGCGCAAGCTTCGTGTCACGTTTTTAACTTTAAATAGCGTATGATAACAATCTTCGTTTTTTCATATCACTGATGAAGGCTCAAGCATTAGCCGAAACGTCTGTTTCAGAAATAACAACAGTCAGAGACAACCAATTTCCATAAAACTCATAACAACTCTTTCATTGGCAGGAATATTTCACTGTGACTATATTTGTTAAGTAATAGGCTGCACTTTCTATTTGTTTACCAAGATAATATAAAGTTAAGTAATAGGCCGTACTTTTGGACCGCCTTCCAGTTAGCTCAATTGGTTAGAGCGCAGGGGCCTGTTTTTCGAAAGTCCCGGTAACTTAACGGGCCCGAAGCCATCTTTTAAAATTAAAATTTAAAAGATGGGAAAGCAGGTTATGACATCCAAACAAGTCCTTTTTGTTTCTTTAGCTGATAGTTTTATTGTATTGTTTTCAAAACTTTTGAAATTCCCATCTTGAATGAAAACAGAACAGCTTTACGGGCCCGTTAAGTTAGCGGGACTTTCGAGAAACGGGCCCCAGGGCGCTTATTAAATTTTTGGTCCTCAAGGGCGGTGGGCCCTTATTCTAGGCTGGGCACTTCTTAAATTTGCACCATTTTTAGCAGGTGACAGAATTTTAACTGTTCATTGAAAGTTTTTGTAAGTTACTAAGGAAACTCTGTGTTTGGGCAAGTCTCTTAGTGGTACTTACTCAATTTCAATCTCATCGTCACTAAGGTCAA